CTTAGGGTCCCGTCTGGAGCTGTATGAGTTTCAACTTCAAATTCACTTTCGGTATCATGGTTCGACTGAACTTGAGGGTCGTCTAGGGGACGCCTCTCTTCTGGAGTCGGTACAGACTTGGATGCCATCTCTGAAGTACTCTCCCCACAGACGGCGCCAAATGTTTCGGGGTTTTCTGATGTCCTGCGGGAGAGTTACAATTCCGAGACTGGAACCGGACGCCTGTACCTGCAAAATAACGGAGACTCCTGAGAGCTCCGCCTCCAACGGTCAAGTTAGTACCCGATTAAGGAGTAATCAATACAGAAATTAAAGTAATGAGATCTCTCTAGGTGAGAGTGCTTAGTGTTGGTAATCTGCGTTGTTAGCGAGATTAGCCGGTTGGTAATAACTCTGTTCTTCTCTGCTTGATCTCTTAATTATTCGATCCTGATTAATGAGGATTAATCGAGTATTTATAGCCTTGGGAAGCGTGCAACTCACTAGGTTTAAGGTAAACCTAGGGCTGACCGGGCCTCTAGACTAAATTGGGCCTTGATGGCCGGTTGTCCCATTTGGCATGGGTGGACACGTGGCGTGTCTTAAGTGGTCCGTGGAGGACGTATCTGTGATTGACACGTGGCAGGTTCCTGTTGGCCTTCGTGAAGAACACGTGGCGGAACCTGGTTGGTCCACTTGTCAGACGGTGATTGGTGGATAAAAATCCCCTAATCAACGGTTATGTTGATAAATTGAGTGATTGGTTGTAATTAGTGTGCAATTGATTCTTGATTATTGTGTTTGGATGATGCTTACATCAACTAGAATCTTTTTAGCTAATTGATTCTTGGTTTTTTTTATTGTGCTTTAAATCAATTGTGCGGAAGTGAGTTGATTGAGAGTCTAGATTCTTCCATACCTTTGCTAGGCTAGTTGCGCGGGAGTGAATAAGCTTAGTAGGATAATTAGCATGATTAATTGCACGGGAGTGAGTTGAGTGTATTAATCGTTCCTAATTGAGATCATGATCATCTAATTGCGACTTGTTATTGAATTCATTAATGTAATTAGATTCCTCCTTCCCTATTATCTTGTTAATTGCTTTAAGTAGTGTTTAGATGTTTCTCTCTCTATCTCACAACCTTCCTACTAGTCTAATTACCTCAAATTAATACACTTAGTCCTTGAGGTTCGACCCTAGTTTGCCACTATCTAGTGTGAACTTGATAAAGTTAGGTAGATTTGATCTAGGGTAGTAGTAACGACCTATTGTCCTCCAATAAAATTTTTGGCGTCGTTGCCGGGGACTAAGGTGTTCATTAGTTTGTGTTAATTAGATTAGCTAGGTTCTTGTGTATAGTTTTGATTTTTGTTTGCTTTTCTTTGCTTTGTGTAAAAAAAAATGGCATGGTTATCTTTTCCTCAATTTGATCATGAACCCTTCTATGCTTACTTTGAAGTACTTGATGGTTTCCTTAGTGTCCATGGTTGTTCTCTTAGTGATGCTTGTGGTATAGTTTATTGGGGCATGAATGAGTATTCTAGGGGAATGGTTGAGAATATGTATAACGGTAGATTCCATATTTTGCTTATGCATGATGCTTGGAATTTCTTCACACGGCTTGCTTGAGATACTTATGATTGAGAACGTCATGTTTCTTGTTTTGATTCTCAATGTCAAGATTCTTTTAATTTTTGCATGAATTCGCCTGATGCTTCTAATATGCCTTGTGATCATCCAAATATGCGTGTTAACCCCTTTCCCTCTTATGCACATTATGATGAGGTGTGTTCTAATGATGCTGATATGCATGTTAATGGTGACTGTGAACCTCAACCCAATAACATTGATGCCCAAATTCTTTTCCAAATGCAATATCTCACCAAACAAGTCCAAGAGCTTCAAGAGGAACAAAAATTGAGAGAAGTGAGACTTGCCCAAGTGATGAGTGCGAAGGTTGTTGGAAATGATGCAAGGCACCTCACTTGAAGTGTGAGAGTGCTTTTGAGGATGATATGGGCCAACGATGTAAAGGTGAGGGGAGATTTTATTGTGATGAGAGGATTTTGATCCTTTTCATTCCCCTTTTGAGCTTGAGCGCCTTCCTTCCCCTTATTCACCCCCTTTGAGAGCTTCCCTTGGTGAGGACGTGAGTGAGACATCTTCAATATTGGATGAGGGATTTCATGAGGATGATGATGAATTTGAGCAAACAAGAGAGATTGAGAATCCCTTGGATGATGGTGGAGGAGTTGAGAATGAAGTAAATGTTGATTTTGTGGATTCCAATCCCCTTCCCCATCTTGATGAGTCTACCTTGCATGTTTTTGACCCTTCGATCCATGAGTATTTGGACTCATTTGAGGTTATGACTAGTGTTTTCATTGAAGGAGTAACGAAAACTCATAGCCTTTTGATTGAGTTCATTGATAATGCTTCATGGGAGAGAAATGAGTTCGAAATGAATTTGCATCCTTTCATGCATGGTTTTGAGACTCTAGGCTTTGAGGATGTTGAGGGAGTTGTTGTCCATCGTTGTGATAGAGAGTAAGATGTGGTTTCTCTTGGAGGTTGGATGTTTGAGGGAGATGGCGATCATGAGTGTTCTTCTTTTGAGGACTCTATAATTGATTCATATGCTCTTATTGGTGATTTGTGGAATGGTGGTGAGGAAAAGTTCATAGGTGAGACCATTGCTCCTATTCCCTTTTGTAATGTCCCTTTTTCAAGAAGATTTAACCATATCCGCTACTATCCTATGTCCCTCCCTTCTTTTTCCAAAGAGCCTATTAGGGACCCTCCTTCTATTGGTGATATCTAAGCCCCTATCTCATCGTTTATTGAGGAAAAGGGTGATTTTTCCACCCAAAAAGAATTTGAGGAGGTTTTGCCTTTTTATTCTTTTTCATTTTCTTCTTTTACATTTTCTTATTTTCTTGATTTTTCTTTTGATTTTTCTTCTTTCTTTTGGCATCTCCCACCTCATTTGCGTGCAATAATCTTGTTGCACTTCCTCCTCCCGTCATTTTCCTGCCGTTTATCCTATGAAATGTGTAGTAGTGCATTTGACAAGCTCTTGCGTTCGTTGCAATATTATTTACTAGAGCGGTCAAGCTAGGACCTAAATCAAGCCTTTCTCGAGAAGTAACCCGTGTTTTATTGCTTTCATTTTCTTTTCTCTTTAGTATAGATTTTCACTCATGGAAATTTTTGTGTGCCCTTTGCTAGGTACATAACTTGTTTTACTTTGGTACATTGGTATTGGATCAAGAATCAAGGAAGTTTGACTCCTCTTTCCTATCATATGGTATATGAGGCATATTTTTGGAGGAAATTGGCTTTGAAGGGTTAAATTGGGTCACTTGCGGGTATTTACACCCACCTATATCCGGTAATATCTTTCCTTGCTCTTTCTCTAATCGTTGGTGGCTTGAAGACCATGTCCTGCTTTGTTGGATTGATTACTTTCTTTTCCCCTCCCATAGACTCTATGATTTATGATTTGAGTGTATTGTCTCATTCAAGCTTGGGGGAGGGTATTCTATCATGCTTGGGTAGAATTTTGGTCCATTTTTGCCATGCACTTGAGTATATGCATTTCCATGTGTTTTCTTATATTTTGCAATGTGTTTTGTTTTATTCTTGATTTGGACAGAATACTTTTGGATTTGTGTTCTTGAATGCTTTTCTTCCTAAATAGTAGTGGTTTGCATGCTTTGAGATATTTTGGGTTGATTCTAGGATAGAGTATGCTAAGGTAGTATGCTAAGAACTTTGGGACCTTGAAGCCCTAGTCCACTTGTTTGTGGTAAGAAGGAGTCGCTTCCTATAGTGAATTTGAAGCCAATAGTGAGTTTTTGCTACAACCATGTGAGGTTTCATTTCTCTAGCCTTCTACCTATTTTGCATAAGTGGCACATGGATCCTTGACTATCGCTTACTTTATCTAGAACTTGACTTTTATCTCACGAGATCGCGACCAAACCATTTAGGAAGGACGAAGGCATCTTTTCGGGGTGGTTATTTTTTCTATTCTAGGTTTCGGTTTTATATTTTTTGGTTTTAGGTTTACATTTTCCTCCTTGCTAACCATTTGAACCTTATAGTTTCTTTTCTAGCCATGTTATTAGACTTCATACCATTTATTTCATTCTTTTCACCTTTGGTTTTTGTGAAGCTAGTGGTATGAGTTTGTTTAGGGATTATAAGTGCAATAGTTTGAAGTTATGAGCTCATTTTGTATAGCAATTATGTATTTTGTATAAGTTTGTGAATAAAAGCAAATGTAAATTTGAAAAAGTTGTCCATAGTCAAAAGAGGCGAGGACAAAGTAATAAAAAAAATGAAAAGCACAAATTTATTTTCATGTAGTTATGATTTCCCTAATTTAGAGCATTGAGGACAATGCTCCATTTAAGCTTGGGGGAAGAGTGTCTACGCTTTTTGTACATATGTTCGTGATTTTGCTTTGAATAAGCTTGGGGGTGTTGATATTTTTGTTTGAGTTTTGGTGATAACTTGGTTATGGTGTTGAGAATTGGCCATTCTTATGCTTCACAATTAGGTATTCCACCAATTTCCAAATTTTTTAGCCTACCTTTCCCCTTTTTGCCCATACGTTACAACCCTTCAAAGACCTTTTGACCTTTGTGGTTGAGTCACAAGTCGGTGGAGGGAGATGGGAGTCAAGCTTATGGAGCGGTTTGCATAGTCAAAATGTCTAGTAGCCCTAAAATCTCTTCTTTTCCGGTTCCCTAGTGGAATCATTGAGATTCTCACTAGAGGTGAATTTGAAACTAGTAGGGAGAACGCGGTAAGATCGTTTGGGATGAAGGTGAATTGTGTCTTATTAGTTCTCTATGCTTAGCATTCTTATGTTTCAATCAACCTTGGATATCTTGAAGCGTGCACTCCTCTATTGTTTAGAAAGACTTATATTTATTTGTGCTTGTTCATTTGCAAAAGTCCATTCATGAACATTCACTACTACAAAAATGCCCAAAGTGACCTATTAAAAGAGACTTGTTATATCATATAACAGGTTTCTTTGATCAATAAGACCTAATGTTACTAGTAACAGGTCTCTTATGTGGAAATTGATGGTGGGAAAAAAATAAAGTGACCTGTTGTTATCTTTAACAGGTCTCTTTGTATAATATTTTTTTATTTATTAAAAATATATTAGAATATTATAGTAATAGAATCATATTTCAAAAAAATAAAAAATAAAAAAAAACCTAGTATTAGAATTAGGCTACCTTGTTTAAAAAAAAAAAAAAAACTCCTATTTATCGCCCCAATCTAGCCTGAGTCACCTCTCAGGCTCTCACCTTGACTCACTGCCCCCTCCGTCGTTTCCCACACTGCCGCCGTCTTACTCTCACCGCCGCTACTCTCCGGTGTTCCTCTCTAGTGTCGGTATGGTTCTCCCCTCACCCGAAGTTTCTTTCCTACACAACCCGAAGATTGCCATCTCCCTCTCGAACCTCCGGCGACTTCCACATACAACGCGACCCTAACCTCTGCCGGCGGCGACTACCGATTCCATTACTCCCCTCCTATACTCGAAGCTTCCCCCACCCAAAGCTGCCATCAATACCCTTTTCCCCATATTAATTTTTTTTCCTAGGGTTTATCGGCTTCTCTCCTCTTTCGATTGCTGGATGGGCTTCTTTATTTGACGAAGTAAAATTTTAAGTTAGAGATAGAAATCATACACTCAGATCTTGGTATAGGTAAATTTTTTCAATTTTTTTCTCAATTGTTTGTTGGCATTAAATTTTGATTTATATACAAGTATGATTTTATTTACTGAATTTTGTGAATGATTGTATTTTAGTATGTGATTTTGTTTATGATTTGGAAGGAGAATGCGTGGAATTATAATGGAATGAAGTCTTAATTTTGTTGTATTAATCATGAAAAATTGCTAAATTTTGGTTGATTTTTGTGTATAGAAGTGAGAAAGTGAGTATTTCTATGAACTAGCTTAGATGTTAAATATTGAAACAACTTTGATTTAGAGTCTATATATATTCATTTGAATTTGGGTGTTTAGAATTGCAATTTGAATCTTTTGGTTAAAGATTAACTGTCCCTTTTACAGCCTAAAGCACCGGCTTCACCTCAGAAAACAATTTTACTGTGTGCTCGCAATTTATTTTTTCGGTTGCAATTTTGCAATTTTTTTGGGGTTTATTTGTTTTTTTTTTTTTTTTTTTTTTTTTTTTTTTTTTTTGTGTGTTGAATTTGAATGATTTATCTTTCTTTGGTTGATTTTTTTATGTTGTTGATGAATTAAAGTTGCAATTGAAGCACTTAATGATATTATAGTTTCAGAATTTGGATTCTTCAGAACCATCATCGCATAGACAATGGGCCGGAGGAAGGATTTGTTTTTGAGGTACTCTGAAAAGCACTTTAATGGTATGAATGAATAGGTATGAATAATTGAGTATATGTTTTTGAATTTAAATTAATTTGTTGATTTTAATATATGATTATTTACGAGGGTTGTTCTCTGTTTTTGAAACACTAGTTTAGTTGTTTCTCTGAGTTTCATCAATTTGATGTAGGCTGCGAAAGTCATATGCTCCTAGATCTTGAGTTTTTGATTTTGGTGGAATTGCAGTGTGATTGCTGTTAATTTGTGTGCTTATTTTGAGGAATTGAACTATGTAGTTGATATTATTTGAAAATTTTGATCCTTCAACTTGTTAATTGTATTCAAATTCTGACCATTGATTTGGAAAACGATGATTATTCTTATGTAATTGAGCTGTTTTCTATCAAATTTTGGAAATATGAAGTTTTTCTATGTGGGTATTTCTGGTGTTGATGGAATTCGACTAGGTTGCTACAAGATTTTGGTTTTTTTTGGAATTTCAACTATGAACTTTTTCCTTAAATTTATTTACATAGTTTTATCCAATGTAGGCTGCATAAACAGCGAAATGTTCCACAACTGTCAAAATCATGTGATGATATCTTTGGTAAGCTGATTCGGGAAGGAGTATCCCTAGAAGACCTTTACAACCATGTTTCTCAGCCTATCTGTTTTCAACTAATATAATATGTAGTATTTGGAAGTTTGATGACCTTTGCAAAATTATCTCTTCTAAGATGTGAGTTCTTGACAAACTTCATTGGTGCCTTGTGTTTGTAGGAGGTAGAAATTGTTTTAACTGCGCATCCCACACAGATAAATAGGCGCTCCTTACAATACAAGCATATAAGAATCGTTGTAAGCTCTACAAATATCTGATAACTTGGATGAATTTTGAATGTTTGTTGTCTTTGAGTAGCTAATAAATGTGAAACTCTGAATTTTCCTTGCAGCATCTTCTAGAGTATAATGATAGACCTGACCTTGGTCATAAAGATGGAGAGATGCTAATTGAAGATCTGGTAATGTACTGCATAATGACCCTTTATTTCACAGTATCATTTTCGATACTGACTAATTGATCTATATAGTGATCCTTTTTTCAGGTAAGAGAGATAACATCAGTTTGGCAAACAGATGAGCTTAGAAGGCATAAACCTACTCCGGTAGATGAAGCTAGGGCATGTAATCTTTCTTAACCTTTTGATACTTGTAAGTTGTAACTAATGTAATCATGCATTTCAGAATTTCCTTTTCTTAATTGTGGATTGTTCTGCACGTTTACATATTGTTGAGCAATCTCTTTGGAGAGACATTCCTCACTATCTGCGCCGTGTTATTAATGCCTTAAAGAAGGTCTGTTTCCATGTGAATTGTCTCTACCTTTTCCTTATAGAAGATGTCTAACTGTTTCTTATGTTTGTGTTTTTATATGTAATGCTTCTGTAGCACACTAGTAACGCACTTCCCTTGACATGTACGCCCATAAAGTTTGGTTCATGGATGGGAGGTGATCGAGATGGAAATCCTAATGTGACTACCAAGGTAAGGTTACATTATCTTGACAGTAATACTAATGTGTTTAGTTGTATGAATAAAAGTCACCAGCTCTAGAATATTATACATTTTTCCAGTTGGTTATGTGCTTTTGATATGATTTCATACGTGTATCAATTACCATATAGTGGCAAAGAGGATTAGAGCTATTTATTGATATTTTCTACTACAAAACATGTAAGGTCCCCAGTCAATTAACCTCCAAATCCTGTAAGCCCACTTTTACCCTGTAATTAGTTTTATCTACTGATATTACTGATGTGTAATTTATTCGTTTTAAAATTTCATCTTTTTTCTGTTCATACATCATGCTCAACGTTTTCCTTACGGAGATTTCATTGTCTTATTCATGACTTCGTTATCACTTGTGTACTGCATTGGTTGTTACAGGTCGGTGCAAGAATCTAGCAAGAAAGGTGTTCTTCCTAGCAAACCAGTTCCTGATCAGGGAGTGAGTATTCAGGGTGTTGATGTTCTTGTGGCCTGCGTGGGGTTTAGTGTTGTTCTTCTTAGACTTTTGAAGCTGCTGCTGCTGTTGGGCTGCCTATTCCTGGGGTGTTGTTGTTTTACTTTTGGTGTAGCTGCTGCTGGTGCCTAACGTTAATGAGTATGGTTTATATTTTTGGAGAATAAATAGAGTATTTTTAGATGTTTTTGTATAGTATTTTTGAAGGTTACATTTGAATTTTTATTAATGAATGTTTGTAAAAGTGTTTATCCACTTAAGTTTAATAAAAAAAAAATTAATAGAAGTTTAATAATATATTATACATAGACATTATGAGATTATGGAATAATTGCAAAATACAGGTACATGAATACTATATAGGTACCCTACAGGAACAAATATTGTATAGGGTATCAAATTTTGTTTTTTTTTTTTTATAAAAAATTAAAGACATAAGAGACCTGTTATCTCTCCTAACAGGTCTTTTTAATGCGTTCAATAGACCTGTTGAGAAAGATAACAGGTCTCTTTGCCTTCATAGATTCAAAATATTATTATGCCCAAAGAGACCTGTTATCTCACTTACGAGGGGTCTCTTATTAATTGCAAAGAGACATGTTTTATAGAGCAGGTCTCTTTGCCAAAGAGACCTGTGAGCTAGAGACCTCCTCTAATGAGATTTCTTAGGCCTATTATAACAGGTCTCTTTGCCTATTTTTGCAGTAGTGATTTGTTTTCCTTCCTTTTCTTTTGATTTCCTTTTTATTCTTTGCCTTGTTTTGCTTAGTTTTTTTCAAAAGTTGTGGGTTAAACTCTTAGGAAACCTTCACGAGAGCACACTCGTCCTCTAGAGCGATCTAGGGTTTAAAGGGCTTGTCTTTAGTTGCTAAAATTGACCGTGATCCCTACGAAAGTGAGTTAGTGTACATTCTCGTCTACTTTAGTGTGCTAGTCTTGCTTGAACAAATCCATCTCCTTTTTTCTTTTGGTTTTGTCTTGCTCGAGGACGAGCAAGAGTTAAGCATAGGGGAATTTGATAAGTGTGATTTATGGCACATATTAGGGTGTTTTTCTCCCTTAGTTTTAGGTTTATTTCGGTGTTTCTTGGTTATTTCTATTCCATTATTGTTTAGTTTAATTCTTGTTTTTGCTTATTTCATTGTTTATTAGAGTAGTTAATTAGTACTTATTTGATTCTTGCTTTAATTCTAGTTTTACTTTGTTTTCCATGTTTTCCTTCATTATCATTATGTTTGCTTAGATTTTGTTCTAGGGAAATGGATGAAGGTTATGTTGATGAATTGAGTGATTGGTTGTAATAAGTATGCAATTGATTCTTGATTATTGTGTTTGGATGATGCTTACATCAACTAGAATCTTTTTAGCTAATTGATTCTTGGTTTTTAATTGTGCTTTCAATCAATTGTGCGGAAGTGAGTTGATTGAGAGTCTAGATTCTTCCATACCTTTGTTAGGCTAGTTGCGCGGGATTGATTTAGCTTAGTAGGATAATTAGCATGCTTAATTGCGCGGGAGTGAGTTGAGTGTGTTAATCGTTCCTAATTGAGATCATGATCATCTAATTGCGACTTGTTATTGAATTCATTAATGTAATTTAATTCCCCTTTCCCTATTATCTTGTTAATTGCTTTAAGTAGTATTTTAGATGTTTCTCTCTCTATCTCACAACCTTCCTACTAGTCTAATTACCTTAAATTAATACACTTAGTCCTTGAGGTTCGACCCTAGCTTGCCACTATCTAGTGTGAACTTGATAGAGTTATGTAGATTTGATCTAGGGTAGTAGTAACGACCTATTGTCCTCCGATCATGCACTACTAGTCAAAATATGAAGCCTTACTAGTCGGCATCCGCATGTGCAAGGCGGCAGGGGCAAGAAAAATTGACGCCTGCTTTGATTTAAAATTAGTCGTTAGCCAGTACAATGGTGAATATGAGGCCACCCATCTGGCCATGCTCAAATATTTGCAGGCGGTCTAAGCTAAAGCTGGGACACTTGATGAATTTCAGTTAAGTCGGGTGCCCAGATCTGAGAACATTTAGGCAGATGCTATGTCGAAATTGGCTTCATCCGCCTCATGTAATATGCCTCGGTCATTCTTCTGGGAAATAATGGAAAAACGAAGTATTGAAGAAGATCCCATTGGAGTACTGGACCGAAGCTCTACCTGGATGGACAGCATCCTGGCCAATCTGCAAGATAGCACTTTGCCAGATACATATCTAGAAATGGCTACAATAAAAAAACGTGAGGCCCACTTTGAGATTCATAATGGAAAGCTTTTCAAGAAGGGTTTTCTGCAACCTCTCTTGAAATGAATCACCCCTGAAAAGGGGCAAGAAATTGTGAAAGAATTGCATTCGGGCTACTGCGCCTCTAACAAAAGCGACAGGGCACTAGCGCGTAGGGCTAGGCGGCAAGGCTACTTTTGGCCCACTCTTGAGGCAGACGTCATAGAAATGGTGAAGAAGTGTGATAAATGTCAAAGATTTAGCAGACTCATACACCATCCAGCCACAGATCTGACGACCATCTATGGCCCAGTACCATTCGCTAAATGGGGCATGGACATTCTGGGACCGTATACGCCTACGCCAGGCGGACGGCGGTATATTCTAGTTGAAGTTGACTACTTCACCAAGCAGGTAGAGGTAGAGGCGGTCAAAGGCATCAAGATAAAATATGTCATTTCCTTCATCTGGAAGAACATCATCACCCGGTTTCGGGTACCTATGCCTATGGTTTTTGACAATGGCTCTCAGTTTGAGATGCCTACCCTCAAGAATCGGCTGGGAGACCAAGGGATCTCCCACTGTTTTGCATCAGTTGGCCGTACCTAGGCAAACGGCCAGGTTGAAGCCTTCAACAAACTAATCTCAGTCGGCATAAAAAAGAAAATTGAAAGGGCTGGCGGTCTATGGGTAGAAGAGTTAACTAATGACCTATGGGCCATCAAAACAACATCAAAAGGGGCAACCAGTGAAACCCCATTTCTCATGGTGTATGATGCTGAGGTCGTCTAGCTATGAGCCGACTCTTGGAGTCATGGTATATGATGAAGAGGCAAACAAGGAGGCCATGCGGCTAGCATTGGATACAGTCCCGGAACGTAGGGGCAATGCCGTCTTTCATCATGAGATTTACCGTCTGAGAATGACAAGAGCCTACAACAAAAGAGTGCACAAACGACCCTTGAATATAAGGAACTTTGTGTTACAGAAAATGGAGGCAACCGGTAGGGCCAATGAACAGGGCAAGCTGACACCCAATTGGGAAGGTCCCTACCGGATCTACGAAGAAGTAAGAGGCGGCACCTACTATCTGGAAACACAAGACGGCAGGAAGCTAGCCTGAACTTGGAATGTAAACCACCTCAAAAGTTACCACTTCTGAGATTTGTAAATTTTTGTAAACGAAAAGCCTATCAATGAAAAATTGCTTTTTGTTTTCAATTTTGATTATTTATTCTTTATTAGATATGTCTCCCAATGGGAACACCGCCTATACATTGTGCAGACGACTAAATCTAGACCAACCGTCTGCTCCAACATGAGTAGACATCCGGCGACGCCCATCCGAGTGAATTCGTCGTAGAGAGCATCTCTCATCTGGGTGGTACATTGCTCTATAAACATAAAAATAAAAACGGCCCAACCGAGTGTCTGGATTAAGATAAGCTTGCAGTTGTTTGAATTGAACTATCTATAAGACCTAGATAGCTAGAGATTACCGCCTATTCTATAAGACCTAGATAGCTAGAGAAAAAATGTTATACTGGATCCATATCTGGAAAACTAAAAAAATTGTAGGAAATAAATTCAAATACTCGGCTCGCATGCCATAAACATAAACGGCTTAGGGCCGAAGAGGCTTAATTTTGCTTTTGCTGAGGTGAAGGCACTGACTAGTCCTGGCTGGAGGGGATCTCGCCTTCAGGTTGCCTTGGTTAAACTTGGCCAATATCAACCGGCAGCGGGTCTTCCTCATGCTCATAAAGCTCATCCTCCTGCTCTTCATCAGACGGTTCGATGTCGGCCCATTCGTTAAAAGGAGCTTGCGCCTTCAGACTGAGCGACCGGACATCATATACCTCAGTGGCATACTTGTACCTTAGGTTGAAGAACTCCCAGTCGTAGTCCCGATGGATGAGATTCCATGGTATTTTCATGCGTGCTTTGCAATCTCGTTCATTCTCATCCACCAGCCGCCACTACTAGAAAACAGTCAATCAACGACGGAAAAAATCCGTCGGATAACCCTGAAATTCTGTCGGAAATGCCCATTTCCGACGGAATTCCATCGGAAAGCATTGTCGGAAGACCCTTTGTAGGTATTTTGCGATATTCTGTCGGAAAGGTCTATTCCGACGGAATTTCCGACAGATTTTGTTCTGTCGGCGCTTTTGTTGACTTTTAGAGTAAATCCGTCGCAAGGTTCCGACGGAAATTTTCGTCGGATGGGGATATTCCGTCGGAAAAAAAAAAAAACAGCCCTCACCCCACCTGCCCAGACCACCCCCACCCCCACCCAGCACCACCAGACTACCCCCCTACCCACCCACACCACCACCAGCCCACCCCACCCCCCACCCCTTGCCCCCTGACTACCCCCCTACCCACCTACACCAACGCTGCCCCCTTACCCACCACACCTTAACCCCACCGTAACCCACCACACTGTAACCCACCAAAACCTCTAACCCAAACCCTAACCCACCACGCCTAACCATCGTAACCCACTACACCTTTTCCCAAACCCTAACCCTAACCCACCACACGTTAACCCCACCATAGCACACCAACCTGAACCCACCTCACCACCCACCAAAAAAACCCTTAACCCATGAAAAAAAAATTAAACAAAATTCATAACATAAAATAAAAAATAGAAATTAAAAATTAAATAAATAGATCTAAAATCAACACAATTCGAAATTTAACAAAAATATACATTGAAATTTAACAATTCAAAATTTAGCAAAAATTTAACTTAAATATACAATTATTTCAAAAACTAAAAGTTATACATTGAAAATTTGAACAAAATAAAACTAGATCTAATTCTAACCAAAATTAAATGTAGATCTTTCTTCGGTGTTGGTGTTGTCGGAGGTTGTTGCGGTGGTGGTGTCCTTGGGCGGCCTTGATGTAGCCGGTGGTTCTTGCGGTGGTGTTCTTCTTGGCGGTTGTTGTAGTGGTGGTGGTGTTGTAAAGAGGAGTGATAAGGAGATCGAGAAGAAAGAGAAAGGGGGAAAAAGAGGGATGAGAAGAAAAGAAGGAGGGATGAGAAGAGAAGAAGGAGCGCTGAGAAATTAAAGGGAAAGAAGAAGAAGAACAGTCATGTAGAGGAGAGGGAAAGAAAAAGAAATAAGAGAGGAGAAAGGAGAAAGGAGAGAAGAAGAAGAGGGGTGTGGAGAGAGAATAGGAAAGAAACAGAATTAAGGGGGGGGGGTCAAATATTCCGTGTTTTTAGATTTAGGTGTTTTTTTTTAAATAAAATTCCGTCGGAATAGTTTTAATTCCGTCGGATTTAAAATCCGTCGGAAATTTCCTACGGAATTAAAACCCGTAGGAAATTAATATGTTCCGAGGGATATTTTCCGAAGGAATATTCCGTCGGAAGACATAAATTTCGAGGGAAAAAAAATCCGTCGGAATATTTCCGTGGGATTTTCCGTCGCAACTTATTTTTTTCAACGGATTTTTCTGACAGACCAAAATTCCGTCGGAATTTTTGAATTCTCCAACGGAATTTAAGTCTGTCGGAACTATTCCGTCGGAAAACGACCTATTTCTAGTAGTGCGCTCTTTTTCAGTCGCCAGCTCAGCCTTATGATCAATCTGCATATGAACTATATCATCCTTGAGCCGGCCGACGTCTGCCCGAAGCCGGGTATTTTCTTGGCCGGCCTATCCAGTGCCTTGAGATATAACTGGGCATTTTTAAGCTCAAGCTCAAAGTCAGACGCCCTACTGTTGGCCGTCTCCACAACAGCCCTTAGCTCCTTAACCAGCTCCTCCTGTTTACTCTCTTTGGCTTTAGTCTTAATATCATTCAGAGTTAATGGCATCAGTCGCCCGTTTTCGCGTCTCTTACCTCCTCATGCTTCCTTTTAAAAGGGCCTTGATCGGGGGACAATAGGTCGTGTCTACTATCCTAAATGAAATCAACAATTTGTATTCCTAACCTAACTCTATCAAGTTTACACTAGATAGTGGTAAGCTAGGGTCGAACCACAAGGAATGAAACGGGGTATTGCACAATCAAAGTGGAATCAAGAATCTATTGCAAGTAACAAGGGGTATTTTGGTTTGTTTTTGTGAATATCTAAGATTAAACTATCTACTAAAAAAGGATTAAAACAAGCAAAATAAGAAGTTGAACTAGAATCACTAAAACAAAGATCAAAAATAAGATTTTAAGGGAATTATAATAAAAAACACTAGGGAAAGGGGGCTCCAATCCTGATCAACTAAGACAACTATGATAATCATCATGGATTCATGCCAAGGAGTACAAACTCTACTCAAAATAATTCATTCTCATACAATCACTCAGAGAAAGTCGATGAAATCGATCAAACCTAAACTAAATCATTCTCATGCATCTAATCTAGAACTCAAATATTGGGGCTAGAGGTGCACAACAATAGCTCTAAGCATTATAAGCACAAAATCATCAACTCAAGGAAAAACCCAATCAATCATCAATATAAACTCAATCAATCATGATTTTCACCCCCTTCTCTAGCTACAGAAAAGAGGATAGTCATACCAACTACTCTAAACATGGATTCAATCCTAACAAAACCAAACATGATTCAAAATCAAAGAAAAAGCAATGAAATAAGTAAAAGCAAAGAACTTTATTGAAATAAACACTATTAAGAGCAATAAAACCAAACAAAAGATAACGGGTAAAGAGATTACTACAATTAAACTTGAAGGATTAAGCAAACATGGATTAGTTGCATTGAAAAGATGAAAACTTGAAGGAAACTTGAAAAGATCTCGATTGCAATAATGGAAACTTGATGATTAAGCTATTTTCTCTCTCTAAAATTTTGATATTCTCTCTCTACAAAAATGTTCTAGATGGCAATGGAATAGTGAATAATGTCATGAAATTTCCATCCAAGGACTATTTATAGGCTCTTGATAAAAAAAAGAAAACGGGTGAGGGAGAGGCCTCTCCAGCAAGCTGTCGCGCCCTCTCTACTGTGGGTACGAAGTTGGAAAACCCAGCTCGCCGCGCCTGCGGCCACCAGGGGCTTGCCCTCTCCAAGCCTTCTCCCAGCCATCTCCAAAAACTGGTGTTCAGCTCAGAACCTTCCTATCCGCGCCCGCGGCTTGCTGTGGTAGCACGTCCTCACCTTTAAGCACTTCCTCTTCTTGGAATAAGCCACTCTAGCCACTTCAACTCTGCTTAGCAACTCAAATTCCGCCCACGAGTGCTAGGAGCTATCAAAGCAAACAAATAAAAGGTTCAAAGCAAAGAAAAGATAAAAGAAAAGGAAAAACACGATAAAGAACAAAAGTAACTAAAATAGAGGTAAAAACTGTAAGCGAAGGCACAAACAAGTGACAAATGAGGGGAATTCATTAGTGAAAAAGGGTGAAATGGTGGCGTAAATGCCACTCATCAAAATCCCCTACACTTGCCTCTTGCTTGTCCTTAAGCAAAACTAAGAAAAGAAAGAAAAAAGCAAACAGTACAAAGACAAACACATCGTGGCAAGGCTTAGAAAAGCAAATCAAGTTTTAGGGTGGACATATGCTCTATTCGGACTCAAAAGGATAGACAAGCGTCAAAGAATATTATCCTTTCTCAATTAAATGATGAAAACACACTCCAAGATGCTCGTGGTTGCAAGAGTCGAGCCTAAGCTAAGCATAGTGAACTAGTGATTCGTTCTTCGCCCTAGTCCCCTCCAAAACGGTCTGCGTTCTCCCCACTAGCTTAAAATCATCCCCCTAGTTGACTCCTCACAATTCCACGACTGAACCGAAAAAGATTCATTTTGAGGAGGTATAAGGTCATCCCGACATCTCAACCATGCATGCTCTCTCCATATGGTTGAAATCCATCTCCCTCCACCGGTCTTTGACCACGCCCCTCTAAAGTCTAAGGGTCTTCACTAGGGTTGTAATGACTTGGTTAAGGGTAAAGGTAGGGAATCATTTGAAAAATTGGTGGCAAATCCTAAGTGAAGCAAGAGAGTGGCCAACTCTCATAAACAAAACCTAAGAAACGACTAAAAATCAAACAAACAACCATCATTTCAGTTTCATTACATTACCACCCTTATTCAAGGGAAAGGAACTTCAAAGCTCTCATATTTTTATTTTATATTTTTTTTTTCAAACTTCTTTTTTTTTTTTTTTTTTTTTTGTTTTTTGGTAAATAAGAGATTTTATTACCAAAGAATGAAAAAATACAACTTACAAAGAAGGGAAGTTGCAAAACTCCAAAACCTACACAAGCCCGAAGGCACACCAACACCATTACCTCCCTACACTGTCACCAACCACCTTCTACGAAGGGTGCCAGGAACAGCGAGAGGGAACTCCTACCTAGCCTCAAGCGAGAAGGCACCTTCTAGGAAGGGTACAACACGCTAGGACTAGGACAAAAACAGCAAATAAGAACAAACACAAAGACCAAAACCATCAAAAACAAAAGCATATAACACAGCCTGTACAAAAACAAGCACAAAACCAAAGTAGCAACCAACACCAGCAAGACTGACCAGCCACCTGCAGGCTGCAGCACCAGGACTGACACCAAAACAACTCCTGCAGATCAAGCTTCAGACCAGCCAGAACATCACAGACTAGCACAGAAAGAACCAGCCATCAACAGTCAGACTGTAGTTTCTGCAGACAGTCACCAAGGACACTAGAACACAAAAAAACACCCAGCTGCTACACACTCTCCATTACTCAGCACTGTCAAACCACCTGCAAGTACAAGAGCTGCACAGAACCAGCCACACTGACAGACACCAGCAGCCTCTCAAACAGACACAACAGCCTTGGAAAAAGAGCAGCAGATAGCAGCCAAACAAGAGGAGAATCAACTCAACAAGTCAGAGAAAAAACGCAGCAGCTATTAGATCAAGACAGCAGCACATAACCATGAAGAAAATTAGGAAGGTAGATTGTATCTCAGATTTTGTAGCCACTTGCAATGATTTCGGGACCAAGACTTATCAATCAACTGTTGTAATCTGCATAGCACTTCTAAGCATATGGAATGACACAGCTTACTAGGAATAATCACAGCTTTATCCCAAATAACATGGTTCCTAGCAAACCAAATATAATAAACACAGGCAGAAAAGACAGCTAGAAATATTTTATTTTGTATCATATCTAGTCGCTATCTATTTTAGTGTTTCCAAGACATATCCAACCTAAAATTCCTCTCGTTTATTCTAAGCTAGGTTGCAATAGTCTTTAAGCAATATATACTGTAGAAACAATCAAAAAATAAATGATCATGGGACTTAGGAGCATTGCCACACAGAAGACACAAGGAGTCAAAACTGCAACCAAAAGAGATTAATCTGTCTTTGGTCTTTAGTCTTTTCTGAGCAGCCAACCAAGCTATAAAGGCGTGCTTTGGCACATTATATTTATTCCAAACCCATTTATCCCATCCAACCTTAGTTTGAAGCCCCTGTAACCATTCATAGCATTCTGAAATCTTGTAGTCTTTGCTAATCCAGTTACCACTTTCAAAACCTTGGTGAAGTTCATCTTTCACAGCACACAATCTCCTCCAAAACCGTCAATCGCACTTCTTAGGACTATACGACCACCAATCTTTATCTTTCAAATAAATGCTATGCACCCATTTTACCCACATGTATCCTCTTTCTTTGCAATTTTCCAAACATACTCCCCCAAGGCAGCGTTGTTCCATCTAGAACAATCCCTCATTCCTATCCCACCATACTTTTTAGGCTTACACACCCAATCCCAAGAAATAGGAGGGGCTCCCCCTACCATAGCAGCTCCATCCCATAGAAAGGATCTACACAACTGAGTAATTCTATGCATAACCCCCTTAGGCAAGAGGACACATTGAGCCCAGTAAGAATGAAGACTCATGAGAACAGAGTTTATAAGGGTAGTCCTTGCAGCATAAGACAAGTTCCTACTCGACCAACAGGTAATCCTAGCCAGCATTTTATCAACAATGCTATCAAAATCAGAGCTTCTCATATACTTAGCATTGAGAGGGATCCCAAGGTGTCGAAAAGGAAAATCGCCAATAGCAAAACCGTATCCACTCAGAAGCTCCTCCTTCTTCACTGAATCCATGCTACCACAATACACAACTGTTTTTTCTGAATTAGCCACAAGTCCCAAAACCTTCTTAAAGGTCTTAAGAGCCCTCACAAGAAGAGATAAAGACTTCTTATCCCCATGTCTCAAAAAAGCATAAGATCATCAGCAAAAACAAGATAAGTTAACCCCAGATGCTTACACCCTTGGTGAAATTTGTAGCCTTCCAAATTCCCCACCTTCCTAAGGAGTCTAGATAAGTATTCCATAACCATAACGAAAATCAAGGGAGAAATGGGGTCCCCTTATCTAATGCCTCTCTTCCCTTTGAAAAAGCCATGAAGCCCCCCATTGATCATCACAGAATAAGAAGGGGTAGTAACACGAATATCACCCACCCAACAAATTGAGGAGGGAAATTCAAAGCAATCATCATATCTCTGATAAAGGACCAATGAACTGAGTCGTAAGCCTTCCTCAAATAAACTTTAACAGTACAACGAGGAGCCTTCCTTTTATTATTATAATTTTTTAACATATCCTGAGACACCAAAATATTATCCAAAATAGATCTTCCAGCAACAAAGGCACTTTGATTCTCACTTATCAACACAGGCAAAACAGTTTTTAGTCTAGAGCAAAGAAGTTTAGAGATAAGCTTATACAAAACATTGCAACAAGCTATAAGCCTATACTGTGACACATAAACAACATCTTCAACTTTTGGAACCATAGTGAGCAAAGTATTATTAACTTGTTTAAGCAAACTCCCATGGTTAAAAAAAGACAACACCGCTTCACAAATATCACTCTTAACAATATCCCAAGAAGCTTTAAAAAACTTACTCGAAAAACCATCGGGACCCGGAGCTTTATCATCTTTTATACTCTAAAGCGCAGCTTTCACATCATGGTTTGTAAAACTTTTGCACAAATCAATTTGCTGTTCCTGAGAAAGGATTCTGCCCACCCCAATCATAGCATTGTGAGCCGTTTTCTCTAGCTCAGAACTAGTACCGAGCAAGTTTTGATAGAACTCCAAAAAAGCATTTACCACCAAGCTAGGTTCTTGAATAGTCTGATCTTCATGAATAACACTGCATATCCTATTCTGAACCCTTCTCGTTTGAATGAAGGCATGAAAATAAGCTGTCTTCAAATCACCCTCCTTAACCTAGTGCATTTTGGCTTTTTGCTTCAAATAAGAGTACCTGTCAGCATGAGCCTTTTGGAAGGCAACTCTAGCCTGCTTCTCCTCATCAATCAGATCTTCATTGAGCGGGTCTAAGTTCAGCTTTTTATGGACATTCATTAGGTTGACAGAAGCATCGGCATCAGCAACCTCAATCATTGAAAGAGAGCTCAAGCTCCCCTCCTTTAGAGCCTTTTTTTACTGTTTGTAATTTCTTAACAACTCTGAACATGGCAGTACCTCTAACATCTGTACCCCAAGCCATACTCACAACATCCAAGAAACCAGGAGCATTCGTCCAATAATTAAAAAACTTGAACGGTTTTACAGATTTTTCATTCACACCAAAAATATTGATGCAACAAGGGCTGTGGTCCATCAATCCCTCAGGAAGAAACGTAGCAATAGTGTTAGGAAACCTATTCAACCACTCACTATTAACCAAAACTCTATCAATCTTCGAACAAACACGCCTTTGCCCTTGTTGTTTGTTGTTCGACGTGTAGAACAATCCACCAACATTAAAATCGAACAGACCATTATTTCCCAGGAAGGCTCTGAAATCCTTGACTTCCTCAAACGTACAAGGAGAACCAATCCGATCTTCAAGATTAAGGATGTTGTTGAAATCCTCCCCTATAATCCACTGTAACTTATTATTACTAGCAATCTCAGTTAACTTCTGCCAGAGCTCAAGTCTTCTTTTAGGATCATTTAGTCCATAGACCATAGAAATAATAAAAACACTGCCAGAGGTTCTATGTCAAACCTCCATGTGAATTAACTGTTCCTCAATTCTTACCACATTAAGCTGGAACACAGAAGCTAGCCACATAACCCAAATTCTACCTTTGTCGCTCTTAGAGTAATTTGCAACAACCGACCATTCTCTTCCAAAACTACAAAAAACGGACCCAAACCTCTTAGCCTTAACTTTCGTTTCCATGAGCCCAAATAAGGCAAGGTTATGATGATTCAAAAACCAAGAAACATCGCACCTTTTATTAGAAAAATTTAGACCTCTCACATTCCAAAAACCGACACTATCCATGAAGAGAGTAAGAACATTCTTCCTCCTCCAAATTCCCATACAGAACCCTCCCTTCCTCAATGCAACACAATCTTCCATTCCTAGCCGGACCCTTCAAGTGAGCTTCTTGGAGAATTGAATTGTGCAGTTCAGCCTCCTCATCACCCAAACAATCAAACCTATTTCCTGTCTCAACCTGCACTGTCACAGCTTCCTGAGTACTCTGACTGGTATCAGCATCCCGATTGTTAACCTGAGCCTAACTACGTGCCTGGTTCTGGACAGGTCTCCATTCCCTTCTTACAAATTCTCTATTTAGAGGGCCTCTTCGTCTCTTCTACTGTCTATTCCATTTTCCAGGACATTTCTCTTCATCATGCCCCATACTAGAGCAACTCTTACAATGGATGGTTTTCCACTCGTAAATGACTTTCTAGGTTAAGTTGGAGCCAGATTCATCTAGAAAATCTATTTCTGCTCGAAACTCACCATCAATTGATACTTCTATCATCACCCTTGCATATTCAAGCTTCTCCTTGTTTGCTGTCACCTTATCAGTTTTCACCGGCTTCCCTATCAGCTGCCCTATCTTCATAAGAGCATTCTGACCCTAGAATTTCAGATGAAGGCCAGGAAGCCTGACCCAAATAGGAACCTCAGAAACACCTTTCTTGTCTAGGTTGATGCCTGGTTCCCACCTTTTCATAATAACTGGCCTACTATCAAACATAACAGGACCCCCCAGCCAAAACCTTCTCCATATTTTCCTTTACCTGAAATCTGACAAGGTAAACTCCTTTCGAAAACAATTTAACTCTATCAATCCCAAGCCTCCCCCAAATATGTCTAACAAAACCATTCATCACGAAATAAGGGACTCTAGCACCTAGAGCATAGCAAATAATAGAAGAACTCCAAAACTGGATTTCAGGCTCAACATCTTCAACCATTATCTGCATCTTCCCCTTATTTGATCGATCATCACTTTTGTCATGGCTTCTACGATTTTTCCCAGTTAAATTTATACCCTCATCCCTAATGTTACTGAAAAGCGCATTCCAACTTCTAGTTCCCCCATTCCCAGCACTAGCAGGATCCCTAGAATAGGGCGTTTCCCGAAGTGGAGGAGTATCCCGAGGGCTAGGAGTCATATTCATATTCAGACCAACCCCAGACCCACTAGAGACAGAGATGTTGTCTCGAATCAACATCAATGGGGTCGGGTGAACAGAGCCCGAATGCAACCCAACAGACCCATTCACTGTTCCATTGAAATCAACTTCAGATAAAGGAGAGTTTTGATGGATTACCTGTAACCATTGATTAAATTGCACTGCATGCCGCTCCTTATCTTCCTAAGATACCCTCTTTGAAGGATCATCTTCCTCATTCCCATTAAGCCAGCTGATCTTAGATCCTATTCCTTCTTCCTGATTTTGAGCTTGTTTAGTGCTTAATCGGGTTCTAGGTTTCAGACCTCTGAATTGCGTCTTTCTTTTCAAATTTTTCTTGCATATTCATATTCAAGCTCAACTTTAAACTCTTTTCTTAAACCACTTCTCAAAACATTTCTTCCTCATATTCAATACACTCAAAACATTAACTTCACATGTCCAATGCTTCACTAACTAAGAGGGTTGGTAAAATATAGGTCATTAGGATTGTAATGCGGTTAAGACGAGAAAGGGAAACATTAGGCTCAAATTGGTTAGCAGGTAGGTTGATGAAAAATAGAAAATCAAATTTGTAACTAAACAAAAGGAAATATAAGAAAATGAGAAAAGGTGCTCTTTTTTATGTGGATGTTAGTCCTAAAACTAAAACACACACATATATGAATCAAGCTTAATTCTATACAGGAAAATCCACCAAGAATTAAACAAGAAAGTAGATTAATTAACTAAGAATTCACCTAATTAATCAACCCAAACGAATGTTTTAAATAAAACAAGCAAAACAGAAATTGAAATCCATCAATTAAAACTCAAGTGTTTAAACTCAAAACAATGCAATAATAATCTCCATCTAAAGCCATGAAAATTACCCCTATTTATATACATAGGAGACAACTAATTCTACTCCTAAAAGGACTAGAACAAACCCCTAACCTTGTTCCCCAAGTATCCTAACTAGAATAGAATTACTACTTCTAACTCAAATAGGATAACTTATCCTAATAAAACTCTAATTAACTAACTAAAAACATTCCTAATAAACTTAAGAAATTTATAGCAACTAAATGATAGAAATTTAATCTTATCCTAAGTGCTTAAACCAAGAAAAACCCTTTCAAGTGAAAGGTAAAAACTTGTAAGCAAAAACTCTATAAATAAACTAAGTCTATAAAATCATTCTTTTCATATCGCCGCCACCACACGCGCCACCCCTGTTGACATGCGCCACACCAGCATGTAGCCGGGTTCAGTCCGGTGCCGGGAAGCCGGCGCGTGGACCCCATCTCGGCGCGTGGCCACCGTGCTCCTCGCCGGAAGTGAACTGCTCCATTTCTTCTTTGCTAATCATGCTTCCTTCTTTCCCTATTGAACTAGTGGATCTTTCCTTGTTTATTTATTTGTTTGGGCAGCCTATAATGAAGCTATTTGGACCTTCTAAAAGTGTCTTGGACCCTTCAAAAGAATTTGCCTCTTGATTCACATCACTTTTCCTCCTCTAAAGGTGTTAGGTCACGATCTCGGGAGCTAGAGATCAACACAAGGTTTGAGACATGCGTAGTTGAGGATCCTAAAATGCCGCACAACAAATTGATGAAGGCTCGAACAATATAAACCTCACGAGGGATGAAAAGGTAAGCAAATGCCAACTAAAGGGCTTCATATTCACTATATGGGGAAACTCCATCTTAGCACTTCCCATGAACTAAGGGTTCAAATTTCCTCAAAAGTTCTTAACCTTGCTACCTTAGCTAAGATTCTTCTAAATAAACCAAAGGAATTCTCAAACTGTGCATCCCATTATTAAGTTAAGAAAAAACAAGCATTCTAAGGCGCATCATCAAAGAAATAGAGTCCAAATGCACAAGCAAATTCCAAAACACATTCATAACATCTTGCCATGGACATGTTCGTCACACAAAAATAAAAACAAAACAATAGAAAGAGAAAGAAATCAAAAAGGTTCGCAAATGAGGCATATAAATCCAAATAAATCCCAATCGACATACAATGATTATTCGGGATCAACACCAACTATCCCAGGTTACTTAGAACCAAATGCAAACAACCTCGAACCATTCAACTTTTTCCTATACTAATCCTAAACTACGCACGCCAAAGAAAGAAAAGAGAAAGTAAAGGAAAGATCTCACCCATATGTCTCTTAAAGAAAAATAAAGCAAACTTACAATTTACATGGCTCCAAATGTTGCATCCAATTTTCTTCAAAGCTACAAAAGAGAGAGATAAAAGCAAAAACAAACACTACACAAAGAGAAAGGTTAGAAAGAAAAAGAAAGAAAAATCTACCAACTCAAACTTTGGGCATAACTAACTAC